CCTTGCTGGAAACACCTCTCCTCCCTGCTTCTCCACCACACAAAAGAATTTTCTGGTTATCTTTTTTCACCAAAGCTATCCAGATGACACAGGCAGCAACGGTCATGGCTTTGTGTCTTTATGGCCTTGGTTTTGTGAACTGTAATTTAAGGACATCAAACAAAGCAAGCGCAGCAAAAACTAAAGCCACTGCCCCACACCCCTGGTTCCTGGATGCTTGTGTATCTCTGCCTCCCCGCCTGCCCTGCCCAAGGAGGGTGTAAACCATCCTGGTGGGTAATCAGTGGTGCTGGACAGCGGACGGAAGGCATAAGGGTGGGTAGAAATTGCTTGGGGCATGGATTCCAGACAGGGACCCTCATAAACACACTCTAGGGTGCTGGGACATCTCTGGGAGATGCACTCAGGTTGAGCTGAGCAGAAACCTTCTTCCAGCTGGTGACGGCTCATACTGTTATGGCGTGTTCAGAGCTGCGAGCTCTTCAGCAAATGGACTATTTGCTGCTCAACTTTGTTTTCTTGCTTGTTCTGTGAAGTTGCCTTTTAGCCAGATTAAAGTAGATGTAAGACAACTGAACATGGATTTGAATAAAACCTGGCTTCCTAAGAGAGCTGCCTGCAGCGCTGATCATTTGCTTCTCTGTGGTGGAACACTGAATTCTGGGACAAGGTCTGTGCTCTCCAGGTCAGCGCTACTTAATGCTATTTGGAGTCAAGGGCCCTTTTGAGAATCTAATTAAAACCATGCCCCTCTCTCTAGGAAAACATGTGTCCATCTGAACTCAGGGGTCAGCTAGAGGCCGCCATCACATTCTCTGTAGGAGGGTCACTGACCCCTAGCATTACAGTCAAACATGAGACTGATTCTGTTGTCAAAACGTGCAAAGAAGTTGCAATCATTTAGTATGCGCAATTCTGGTAGAAGTATTCAAAAGAACAGGAAATTAAGAAAGTCCTAACTAGCTTATTCTATTAATGGATTCAAATCAACAGGGGGAAGTTAGATCTTTCTAATGGCACTGTGATAATAGAACCTAATAATGTCAATAAAATACCAGATTTTTGCCACCCACCAGAAGGAATCCTTGCTGGGCTAAACATTTAAATGTAAAAACTTGGAACAGAGGACGCAGTGCACAGGTAGAGCACTTTGCATATGTGAAATCCTGGGCTCAATTCCCAGTACTGCACACACATAAACAAAGTGAAAATAAAAGCCTCAAAGAATTAGAATGCCAAATATACAAGTGAGCCTTTTAATCCGTAGGTGGGAAACAAACCTTTCTACGCAGAAACCACAAGGAAGAGTGACATATATGGGAAAATGAATAAACCTTGTATAGAGTATAAAACCAAACCAAACCAATTTCTTCCTTTAAACTGTTTTAAGGGCCAACTTAAAAAACAATCACAATAATTATGGAAAAGGCCTGAGAATAGCCCTTTTTAATCAGGTAAAAAGATTAAAATGCCAGATGAAAAATGAACAACACATCTGTCTAGCCAATCTGGTTTCAAAGAAAGATGGCTCATTAAATTAAGTGAACAAATTGGTCAATGGGCAATTCGTGGCATACAAATAACCATTAGATTAAAAAAAAATCAGCAGTCATAGGTAGGGCTTCAAGAGTGAAACTCTGTGGAGCGATAGCACAGTGGGTAGGGTGTTTGCCTTACACGCGGCCGACCCAAGTTCGATTCTTAGCATCCCATATGGTCCCCTGAGCACTGCCAGGAGTAATTCCTGAGTGCAGAGCCAGGAGTAACGCCTATGCATTGCCAGGTTTGACCCAAAAAGCAATAAATAAATAAATAAACAAACAAGAGTGAAACTCAAAAGGAGAATTTTTCTCCTTCCTGCCTGTCCAACCAGCCATGCCTCAAAGGAAGGTGACGGTGTGCCCATAGGCTGGGGCCATGGGCAGTCATGGTGCTCCTCAGTGCTCCTTGGAGCCTGTGCTCAGTGTCCCAGAGGAGCATTTGGCTCCACCCATCTGGCACTTTCCCGTCAGAGTATCTGCAAACCTGAAACTCCATGTAATGACAGTCTTGCTGATCTTCTATACCCACCAGCAAAGAAGCCCTCTGAGTATTCTTCAGGAACATTCTTCTCTGGAGGCAAGTGTGAGGCACCTTCCTGGCCCTTCCCTCTCCCATCCCTTCTCCCCCCACCTGCCTTCAGCCGTGCCTGTCTGACCCTTTCCCCCAGGGCTGCGGGCCAGCTGTGCGGGGGACCAGGAATTGAGTCAGGGCTAACTTGGGTGTCAGAGGGCGAGGGGGGGGCTTCCTCCTTGGGTACAACTGCAAAAGGTACAAGGGAGGACCGGGTCCCCTGGCAAACCCTCACCAACGCCCATAGATCTGTCTGAAGCCCAAGTGTGGTTCTAACGCTGTTGCTCTAACCCTGGCTCTTAGCTGACTCCGGATCTGCATTTGCTGTGAAACAGCTCCTCAGCCTCTAAGTGTGTCTGCTAATGGCATGTGTGCTGGGGGTCAGCCTGAGGACTTAGACTGCATGAGTTGCTATTTATAAAAGGCTTAGAATAGTGTCTGCAAAGAGTATGCAGGGCATTAGCCATTTGTTAAAGAATTCTGTTCAATTAATTTGAGTGCACAAAAATCTAAGAGGATAAATAACAAAAGATTTAACAATGAGTCACTTAATTTCTATTTTCATTTGGTCACATCTTCTATTTTTTTTTAATGACTGCTTATCTAGTGTTAAAAAAAATCTGTTCAGAATTTCCTAACTAAGTTGAACTGAGATTCTGCTTTTACAGTGTTTATTTTAAGGGGCTTCAGAGAGGGTGCGACGTGTAAGAATACACCTGCTCATGAGGTCCTGGGTTCCATCCCCAGCACACACACACACAAGGTCACTTTAAAATGCCGTTAGTATTGGCAAATATCTCTAATTCCACTGTGGAAGTTAACAGAAACACAAGCTTCGAGAAATTTTGTGACTGGAATGTTTCCTGAACCATGGAGTGAAGAAGCTGATGTTGCTGGGACGTTAGTAATTCTATCCCTGCTTCAGAGCCGGGCTGAACAGTCAATGAAAGACGTGCTCTGGTGTCTAACGTTACAACCTTGCGGGCCGGCTTTGCTCTTGATGGACACGAGCGGGTGAGACCAGGTCACTGGCGGGGACTGGTCACTGCAGAGCCCTCCTGGGCCCGACCCGGCTCCTTTTCACTTGTCTTGGCTGCAAAGGAGCCTCAGCAAGACACCAGTGTGACTGCAGTCCTCTTCCGCTTCATTCTCTTCAGACTTGGTTCTTGGGGGAGGGGACTCTGAGCAGCAGGGGAGCACTGGGCCAGGCACCTCCGGAGTCCATAGGCTTCCCCTTCCCTGGAGAAGGGAGATGAGGCCTCAGAACAAAGAAAGGGTGAGGCCAGGCCGTGGCAGGGTAGGGAGAGCTGATTCCCAGAAGTGGATAGATGTGAGGAGCTCTGGGTGAGTAAGACCTTAAGCATCCTGGGAACCTTTTAGGTCTCCTTCACAATATCTCCGTGGTAATAATGGTCCAGCAAGTCCAAAAGGAGAAGGGACAAGTGAAGTCTGATGTATATGCGTGTAGGAGATTCATTGAGGAATAGAGCGATGGAGACACAGAACATCATCCCCCAAAGCAGGCAGTGCGGAACGCGGGCCGGTGAGAGAAAGGCCTACACACTATGGGATTCACAGGAACCAGAGAGGCCAGGTGGGAGCCCCCAGGCCCGGCACCTAAAACACAAACAAAAACAGGCAAAACAAAGGGCCGATAGGGATCAGGGAGCGGTTGCCTCTGGGGGCAGGGAGGGCACAACAGAACTTTCTGGTTTGATGGAATGATTTTGGATCCTATAGCTAGGGGTGGTTGCCTGGATGCGTGCAGTTATCAAAACTCAGCAAGATGAACACTTATAAACTGTTGTGCTAAGTTATAGCTATTTTTTTTTAAAAAAAAACCAGTGTAAATGTGCAGGTTGCTGATATGTGTAGACGACTAAAATACTCAGGACTGAGAATACGTTCTTAAAAAATATCCCAGAAAAATAAAGCTTCATATCCCGCTCCCTAAATTATTTGTTTGTATTGTTTATTTATGATTATTCAATTTATATTATTAATTTATATGGCCGACCCGAGTTCGATTCCTCCGCCCCTCTCGGAGAGCCCGGCAAGCTACCGAGAGTATTCGATATGCCAGACACAGTAACAACAAAGTCTCCAATGGAGACGTTACTGGGCCCGCTCGAGCAAATCGACGATCAACGGGAGGGCCTTTACCTTTACCTTTACCTTTTAATTTATATGATCATTTATATTATTCATACTAGTTTTAGTTTATAGTGAGGAAGGAGTTATCTGCTATAAAGTAAAGCCCTTTCCCCCCTCACATTCTATGAACAGGAAATCATAAAAAATAATTGATAGCTGAAAACGAAATCCTGTGACACTTATTTTCTGAGAGAAAGAACTTAGTTATTCCCTCTGCTCCCATGTGATCCAGCTCCGTGGGCAAAGCAGAACCCGCCTGACTCACGGTAGCCTCCAGAGCAGCCTGCCAAGGCCCAGAGAACAATGTCTCCTCACCACTACGTACATACAGGCTTCAGTTCCTCTGTGGTTACCAACTAGTCAAGAGTTCATGTTAACTAGTCAAATTCCATGTTCCCAGAATGCGAGGTTGACTGCAAAGACTGCTGAGGATGTTATCATATGAAAGTAAGAAATCAGTGACGATTCCTTTTTGGAACTTAACAGGAAATCGATGCAAAAGCAGTAGATGAAATGAACTACAAATCCGAAAATCAAAAGTTCAACTGATTAGATTCTTTTTTAAAAAAAAAATCATAGAAAAGGTACAATCATTTGAAATACAGAAGGGAGCCCCGCATTGGGCTCTGGTCCCCAGGGGGAGGAACCCTGGGCCCCATGGGGAAAGGCGACCCCCCAGCACATCTGGGGTCCTTCTCCATCCAGCTGCTCTGTGGCTCTCCCTGCATGGCGGCTCGGCTGGCCGGTGCCTCCTAGACGGGGACCCCCACAATCATGTTGTTCTTGGGTGAGCAGCTCTCCGGCTCCATGGAGATGACGTGGGCCGAGTAACCGCGTTCCTCAGCAGCTCGAGCGCGGTCCAGGTCCACAAGGCACATGCACTGCTTCCCTGCAAGGAGAGACACATGTGGTCACAGCCCGGGGAGCCTTGTCCCGTGGAACTTGGCCAGTACAGAGGGAAGACACCAACCAGGAGAGACACAGTTGTGTATCTCCAACAACTTAAGAAACCTTTTCTCTCTCTTTTTTTTTCTTTTTTTGGTCACACCCACGTTGCTCCTGGCTCTGCACTCAGGAATTACTCCTGGCAGTGCTTGGGAGACCACATGCGGTGCTGGGGATCAAACCCAGGTCAGCAACGTGCAAGGCAAATGCCCTATCCTCTGTACTATAGCTCCGGCCCCAAGAAACCTTTTCAAATGTCCTGTTAAGTCAATCTCAAAGAAAAACTAGATTCTATCCTCCAATTAGTTAAAAACCTAGTTGTTAAGGCCTTTCCTCTGCATGCCTATGAAAACACAGTATTTGCAACTGTGTGTATGTGTGTGTGTGTGTGTGTGAGAGAGAGAGAGAGAGAGAGAGAGAGAGAGAGAGAGAGAGAGAGAGAAGGTGGGGATCTGTAAGAATATTCAAATAATAGCAAATCTGAAAAATGTCACATTTTTCCACCTGGTGTTTCCAGAGTAATGGAGACCTGAAAAATGAAGACCTTGGCGACAGCTCAGTAGAGCACTGGTTTCCGGCACTGAATGCCGAGATGAACAGTCCTCGTTTCCAGGGTCTTGCGAGCACCTTGTAAAGAGTCTACCCCTCTGGCCTTGCAATCATCGGATGACAAAAGGGGAAAGCTGACTGGCAAGTAAAATGGTCAGACAAAAACTTCTATTCCAAAAGCTGCTTCAAGCGGGTAGGGCGTTTGCCTTGCATTCAGCTGACCGGGGTTCAATTCCCAGCATCCCATATGGTCCCCTGAGCACTGCCAGGGGTAATTCCTGAGTGCACAGCCAGGAGTAACCCCTGTGCATCGCCAGGTGTGACCCAAAAAGCAAAAAAAAAAAAAACCAACCCACAAAAACAGAAAAAAAACAAAAACAAAAACAAAAGCTGCTTCGAGGGACGGGAGAGGCAGTGCAGGGTGTGAAGGAACGTGGGGCCGCCACATCTTGACTGCTAGGACCCTATGGACACCCCCAGACACTGCCAGGCACAGCCCTGCAGGGTGAGCTGGTGTGTTCCTGAGCCCCAGCACAGCCTCAGCCCGACAGTGAACTGCTGGCCTGGACGGCTGAGGATCACAGGAATGGGGCTGGGAGCGGGCTGCTGGCTGCACCCACTTGAGGCCCTGGGCCCAATTACCGGGACCCCCCGCCCTCCCGGTGGGTATACACACACACACGCATGCGCGCGCACACACACACACACATGCACACACACACATGCGCACACACGCGCACACACACACATGCACACACACATGCACAAACACGAACGCACACACGCAAACACACATGTGCGCGCACACACACACAGACCTCAGAACAATGATTTTGGGGTTGACTATCTCAAAGCTAAGTTTTACTTTTACACTTTGAATTTCTTTACAATCAACACAGGAACTTCTTCATCCTCCTGGAAAAGAGTTACGGAGTACACAGAACCGCATTCCATTTTCTTCAGTAGTTCTATTAATACCTAAACATTATTTTCCCAAGATTTATTTACATGTCAGCCAAAACTGCTATGCTACAGCAGCTTCAGCAATGAAGGCAGTTGGGTTCCACAGGACAGTGGGTGGGGAATCCGTGGGCGAGATTTGGCAGGGGCAGAGGCAGATTGGAAATGTTTGTTTTGTACATTTTACTTAAAAGGATCATGCCCAAAAGGGTGATGGCATTAGAAGTGATAGGAAAAGAGATTTCTGGAATTCCAGTAAGGCAGTACCACCCCCCTCATCAACAGCCAGGTGCTGGCACGCTTCCTCTCCCTAAAGCCCTGCCCACCCGGCTCCTGACGCCTGCCCTTGCCCTGGGAGCCCCTGCTCTCTATCTCCCTGTCCCCCACCTGCTCCCCTGTCCCAGGCAACCCCTCATCCCCTGCCCCCTGTCCCCTCCCCGTCCCAGGCGACCCCACCCCTTGCCCCCTGCCAGCCCCCGCCCCCAGCCCCTCCCATCAGAGGATGCTCTGCATTCCCCCAGTCTCTGCCCTGGCATGCGGCCCGGCCTGGTTAATTTTCTTTCCCATTACCGAGAGCATCTCTCAAGTTTCCACATGTTGAACAGTCTCCCTGCAAGTGAGACTCAGTTGGGAGCCTCCTTTCAGGCTCGGGCGTCCCGGGAATGCTCATGGGAGGGAAGCATGGCCTGGCGGAGTCCAGGGGAGGGACCTGGGGGGTCCAGCTCTGAACTGAGCCCCCTCCACACTGAGTCTGAGCAGGCACTCGGCCTCCAGCACACCACCAGCTGCTCCAGCCCAAACACTCGCGTGTGCCCGTGTCCCACCTCCCATCACAGCAGCTGCCCCCGCCCAAACACTTGCGTGTGCCTGTGTCCCACCTCCCATCACGGCAGCTGCCCCTGCCCAAACACTCGCGTGTGCCCGTGTCCCCACCACCCATCACGGAAGGTGCCCCTGCCCAAACACTTGCCGTGCGCCCATGTGCCCACCATCTACACAGCAGCTCCCACTCCAGTGAGCTGACTGGTGTGGTTGGTGTCACTTGGAAGTAAATGTCATCTCAGCTCCATTCTATCAGAGTGCTGGAGGGAAATGGGAGGTGGGAAAGAGCCGTCTCTCCTGGACAGTAAGAGTGCTGTTCCCTTAGCCTCGGCCTTAGACGCTCTGCAGCTGCCTGAGGTCGGGGCCGGAAGAGAACTCAGTCCCAAGTAGGAGGAGAGCACACACCTCCACGTGCAAAACCCTGGGCAGTGCCAGCAGCATGGTGCCCGTCATTGCCACAAACCACGGTTTCTCACAGACCGAGGCCTGCTCGCCACAGGCTCGTGCTCAGCCGGAGATGCAGACGGTTATGAAAGGAAGGTCCCCAACACACGACTTTCTGTGAGGGTCTTTAAGGACAGTGCTCACTCCAGCCCACCTCCAGAAGCCCCAATCTGAACCCAGCCCTCACTGAGACGACTTATCCGTGGGGGCACCAAACAACAGGCCGAGGGCCTCATGCTCGGAAGCAGATACATTGGGCCCAGGCCAAGCCTGTGTGCCAGTGATGGGACCTGTAATGGGGACGGGAGGCTTGCATCCAGTCACTGACACAGGAGGGGGTCACTCGGGGTTTAGCCGCTATAGGCGTCCACATGTGACTTCTGTCTCCAGAGAGTCTTGGATACATTTTTAACTTAGTAAGATTCTAAATGTTATGGTATGCCTTCCAATTTAGGTAATGTTTAATATTATAACTCTCAAACTGGTAACTAATTAATAATTTCCAAGTGGACTTTTTCCAGAAAGAAAACATTATTATGCTGTTTACACATTTTTCTGCATCATTTTTCACATGCATACTTGATTTTTCCATCGCGCGCATGTGTATGTGTGTGTGTGTGTGTGTGTGCATATGTGTGTGCGCGCGTGTGCATGTGTGCACGTGTGGCTTTTGATAGATCTAACTAACTCGACTCAATGTGCAAACACTAAAAATGTACTTAGTTACAAAAACGGGATAAAACGTGGTTATGGTTACACGGCCCTTCGCAACAGGGGGACATAATGGCGTTTCTCTGGGTCCAGAGCAGCGGCTTATAGGGGCCACAACCACATACCTATGAGCCTGCGTGGGGCCGGCAGCTGGACGGCGGTCTGGTCTGCGAACCTGCACAGAATCATGTGCTCCTGTGAGAAAGACAACAGCAAGGGGGTCACTGGACTCTTCCGCTTCAGGGTCACAGGCGAAAAGCGCCTCATGTGTCTGGCGTTCCTCAGTTTCCCTGACTAGACTCTGCACCCAACAGCACCTTTCATAGGAAAAAATGCCCAGGAAACTGGTCTCCCCTTTTGAGCCCACATACAGAGGCTCCTGGGGGACCTTTGGAGAGTTGCTAAAAGCCAAAATATGGCTGCATATTTGGACTGGGTCCAACTAAAAGACCTAAAATTCACTTGTACTTTTCGTTTTTGAAAGTTAGAGCTGCAGGAACAAGGTCCCAGAGAGACACGGGGTTGTTGGAAATCAGGAAAGGGACACAAGATAACCCGTCAGCCTCTGCAAAGCAAACCGTGATGCCCACAGGAGAGAGGAGAGAGGTGTCTGCACAGAGGAGGCTGGGCAGGGAACTGGGGACATTAGTGCTGGGAGATTACACTGTGGAGGGACGGGGGCTGGGACACTGTAGGGCTGAAACCCAACCACAAACGGTTCTGTAATGCTCTATCTCTTTCATTGAATCACTAAACTCAATAAAACAAAATGATTCATTAAAATTCAATAGCACTGTAGCACTGTCCTCCCGTTGTTATCAATTTGCTCAAGTGGGCACCAGTAACGTCTCCATGGTGAGACTTGTTGTTACTGTTATTGGCATATCGGATACGCCACTGGGAGCTTGGGCTGGAGCGACAGCACAACGGGTAGGACATTTTCCTTGCACATGGCCAACCCAGGTTTGATTCCTCCATCCCTCTTGGAGAGCCTGGCAAGCTACTGAGAGTGGATACCTGCATGCGCAAGGCAAATGCCCTACCCGCTGTGCTATCGCTCCAGTCCAATAAAATTCAACTAAATAAAAAAAAATACTATAAAAAGAAGACAGAGATACCGAGAGTCCCTGTGCATGGGAGCGGCAGATGCCACAGAAGCAGAGCCCGGCCCCCACAGCTGCTGCCTCGTCCCCGGCTCCCCCCACTGGCCCTCACACTGGGGGCAGCAGTCGTCACATTGCAAAGGGATCCAAGAGGGTCCTCCGAGGACAAGCCTGAGAGCGGGCAGCCGGGAGAGGCTTCCAGGCTGCTGAACCGTGCCAAAGAAGGAAGCTGGTGCCAAAGGCAAGGCGGGTCCTGTCAGGACAGCGTCCACCTCCCTCACTGGACACTAGCATCCTCCAAACTCCCCTTCAGGGCTGGGGGATGGTGACACGTGGGTACTGCGGGAGGTTCTCCTGGCTCCAACTGCTCTGCATTAGGACGCGTATCTTTTCCTCAAATGCTTCCTGTAACACGTGGTAGAGATGGTGATACGCTGAGGGAACACTGAATGAAGAGCTCACCATGTCCCCATGAGCCAACTGGCCTCGACCAAGGAGCAGAACTGAGAATTACGTGACTTGAAGAAAAGGCGAGAAAGAGCTTGCTCTGGATTGTCCTGGAGGCGGAAGTCAGGCTTTAAGCGAGGTGGCCCCGAAGCCCACTGTGGGACTACCCATGGGCCCACCACGCCGTGGACACACGCCAAGGGTGCGTGGCAGCAATGCGGAGCCTTCTTCACTAGTCTGGAGTGTGCAGAAAGACCTTCCAAAGCACCTGTCAGAGTTGGTGCCAACCCGTCTAGTCGTGTCTGCAGCCGTCTGTCACGGCTCAGAGACGCCGAGACGGAGAAAGGGAGGCAGAGCAAACCACAGCCGCCCAGAACAAGCAGATTGAACCAGCAGCCCGGGGCTGTGGGAGAAAGGGTGCCTGGGAGCTCTCCACGCCCGGGAGAGCCAGGTACCCCATCTATTTCACTCTTTAGAAACTTCCCTTCTCTTTTAGCCAGTGAGCTCATGGCGCCTATTTTCAGGGGTCCCCGGCTTCGTGGAGCCTCTCTGAGCCTTTACTTCACCTCAGGGGGCCCCAGGGGTGAGCGCACACAGGCCAAGCTGTGGTTTCCTTTTCAGTTCATTTTCGACTTACTGTCAAGTCTCTGGAATGAGACGTGAGTCAGTTTTAATCTTAAATTCCTGGGGTCCTAATGCTCCCCACCCCTGGTCAACCCGAGTCCAGGGAACAAATGCAGGAAGGTCTGGGTGGAATGGAATGAATGGAGTTTCAACCTGGCCCATGGGCGCGTCCACGGGTGCCCTCACACTGCACTGTACCGCATGAACTGCTGACGGTCAGCTGCTAGTGATGTTCACAAAGTCGCAAACTGCTGGTCAGACCCATTGACCCAAGACTCGCCTGCACGGCTGACAGCTCACGGCCCACCTGGCCAAGGCCTTCCTCCCTGCAGCTCCGGGAAGTGCTGTGGCCGGCCCGAGCTCGGACAGGGAGACGCTGCCCCCACGCACCCACACTGGGAGGGGGAAGGGGTGGGAGGACAGCGACAGTGTGGAATCGAGCAGCCGGCCATGCTTAGAATGTACCTGCCTGTCCACAGGGAAAGACCATCCTCTCCCTCCCAGGCTGTCTTAGCACAGGTGCTGGAAAGCGAACAGCCGCAGGAAACAGTCGCTCCCAGCCTCAGCTCAAGCCTGGAAACCCGGGGCTTCCTCAGCCCAGTGCCCTCTGCTGACCCAGGGGTCAGTAAACAGAAGGAGTAGTACTGCGGCAGGGGCACCGCCCTGTATGGGAAGGGTCTGTCTCTGTCTCAAGGATGGGTTCCCGGATGCACTAATCTGGCAGTTCCTGGGAGATTCATCTTGGGTGCGGATGAACGACTCAAACAGAGCTTAGAGGATGCAGCCCATTGCAGGCCAGGGACTGGGGACGGGCTTGGGGCAGATGAGGCAGCACATGCCCCGGAAGTGTGGGCCCTGGGTCTGCTCCCCAGGACCAAGAGAACAGAGCTGAGACTGAAAAATAGGAAGAAGGAAAGAAAGTAGAAGAAAGTACATTGGGAGCCCTCCAGTCCTTTTCAGGTTACCTTGTACGACAGCACCTCCTTGAACTGTTCACTGCAACAGAGAGAAGAGGATCGTTATTGTTTTAAATGCCAGAGATGAGAGAAGTCATAACAAAACACACGCATTGGCCCTGAGAGGATCGTGTTATCCTAAACTCAAACCTACGCTGGCTTTAAACGTCCTTCTAGAGAGACAGCGTGTGCCACTGGAACGCAGTAAGCAGTGTGGGCATCTCTCTCAATGGCCCACACCAGCGGCTTCAAGAGCGAGTGGCTTGGCGTAGAGTGGCCGGACACCGTTGGCTTGCAGGGTCAGAGGGGCATGGCCCTCTCTCTTCCCTGCCCGGGCGCCTAAAGAGTCAGGAGTTTAGAGGGGGGACCTCTGTTCAGGGGTGGCAACACTCCCAGATTCGCTGACCGCCAGTGAGGAGTGCCAGCTGCTTAGGGAGGCCAAGAGGAGGGATGCGCGTTACGTCAGTGGGTCACGGGGCAGAGCCCAGGGTGGGGTGGAGGGGCAGTGGCCGAGGAGGCAGTCAGGAGCTCTGGCCTTCACAGCAGGGCAGGCCAGGCTAGCTAAGAACTGGGGGTCTGGACCACTTGGTGGGCGCTGAGGTAAGGTTCCGATGCGACTTGGAGTGGGCACTGGCCTGGGGGCTGCTTTTCAGGACAAAGGAGGAAAGTGACAGTAAATGGACCAGGATGTGTGAAGCTGAGAAATGTTGAACGGAGGTTCTAAGATGGATTGTTCAAAAGGCTGAAATTAAAAGCACTCTTAGGGATCTTTCTAGTGCTAGACTCAGGTTTCTTTCTCCCTCCCTCCCTCCCTCCCTCCCTCCCTCTCTCCCTCCCTCCCTCCCACCCTCCCTCCCTCCCTCCCTCCCTCCCTCCCTCCTTCCTGTGCTGGAGACTGAACCCAGGTTTCAAACTTGCAGGCCAAGTGCTCTAGCCGTGGGTCCACATTTACATTTCTTACTATTTATGCTCAGGAACCACATACGGTGCTGGGGACTGAACTAGGCCCTGTACCATCTTCCTAGCGCCTCGACTCACACTTCTCAAAGGGTTGTAAAAACATACATCAAACATATAGGAAAGGCCCTCCCATTGTTCGTCGATTTGCTCGAGCGGGCCCAGTAACGTCTCCATTGGAGACTTTGTTGTTACTGTGTTTGGCATATCGAATACGTCATGGGGAGGTTGCCAGGCCTGCCGTCTGGGCGAGATACTCTTGGTAGCTTGCCGGGCTCTCCGAGAGGGGCAGAGGAATCGAACTTGGGTCGGCTAGTCCGAAAGTAGTGAGTGGTCGCAAGGTCAACCTAAAGTCAACCTGCAGCAAACATATAGGAAATGAATTTGAAATACTGAGTAAACCTCAAATTGCCTTGTGTGGTTTGTTTTGTTTTCCAATACTTCCTTTGATGGTGGGGGGCGCAAAGGGCTTTGCCTGCAGAACCCCAGACTGGATCCCTGGCAGTCCATGGTCCCCCAAGCACCCCGATGACCATGCTGGGAGATCCCTGAGGACTACCCAGTGGGGATCTCGCGACCCCCCTCAATGCCCCCAAATCTTTTCATTTTCTCTCAACTACTTCAAATATTACTAAGCAAAAAAACCAATGGAAAACAAATAAGAAGTCAATTATGTGTACTTAGTTTTACCTCAGATTACACAGACAAAAATCTCTAGGTCTAAAATCAGATGAAAAAATTCTAAGGTTTCTTAAGAGTGATGATGTAAATGACCCAGACCTCCTTTTGGGGTGCGGGTGGACAGACTCCCCATGATAGACAGAGCTAATCCATCCCATAATGACAATGGCCATGGTTCTTGGTAACAATGGACGCAGAGTGAAATGTGGGAAACTCTGACAGGCTGAGTGAAGGCGCCCCTGCCTACCTGGCGTGGGACAAAGGTGGCAACGGTCAGGCTCGAGGGCAGCAGCCCAGCCCCGGGTCCCAGTCTCCCTCCCGCACCTTCCCAGGCCATGAAAAACATGAGTGGGTGTCTGAGAAACCCTGCCACCGTCATGCCACTCTTCATATTAGAAAACAGACAAAAAGTTGGAGTCAACTGCCTGGGGTGAAACATTGTAAAAGTGATCAGTCTTCCACGAGGACACCGAGATAGCCCTGGCCACAGGTTTCAGAGGAGAGAAGGCCGAACAGCAGAGGGGCCACCTTCCTCACAGGCTTATCAGCAGAACCCGCCCTGACGGAAAGGGAAAGTCCTCACCGCTGAGATTTTGCTGCATTCAGACACCCAGCAAGTTCTGTGATTTTGGCTTAATCTGCAGGTCATAGGTAGAACACGTAAAGTCTCACCTTCTTGGGAAATTGAACTTGGAAGTTCTTTGAATAAAACCATAGCAACACGGAGACGTGACAAAGGTGGCGCGTGCTTGGATGCAGTGGTCGATCACCATGTCCGTGGCCACGCCACATGCGTGTAGAGCCACCTGCAAGGCAGAGCAGGTCTCAGCACTGTGCTCTTCCCTGCCCCGGGTTCTGTGCCACCTTTCCCCTCCCTTGGGGGATGACGATTGAGGTTTCAAGTTACGGGGTTATCCAATAACAGTTAAACTGCTTTAATTTGGTGAAACCAGAGACTAGTTTGGCTATTCACATTAATTAAGAAAATCAAGCCAGTTTCAATTACAAATAAAGCATAAGCTTCAAAGGAAAATCTGATTTGATATACAATGTAGAGTTTAATATGCATGCATGTCCAAACCTGCACCTCTGTGATGAGGGTCAGAGCAGGTATAGCACGGGAGTCAGAGCTTCCTTAGCGTCAGAATTTCTATCTCGAACTCTGGTCAGCAGTGGAGTTCTGAGCCACTTAAATTTAACCTTTGGGCCTCAGTTTCCTGTACTATAAACCAAGGTCAAAAATACTGTAACTCGATCTTTGAAGCGTTCAGCATAAGAGAAAAAACACATGGAGGGTGCGGGATCCCGGAGGAAAAAAAAAAAAGAAAAAACAGGTTCCAAAAAGAGCCGAGATCACCCGCAAGTTCCAGATGGAGTAGGTGCCGCATCCCACCTCCCCCAGATGGAACCCCGGTGACCAGAAGCCTCTACAAACACAGCTCGAGTATGCGGGAACGAGGACTTTTTCTCAAAACTGCCAGACTACACCTCCCAGGTAACCTCTGATTCCGGAAGTCACGCCCACAGCCCGCCCCCCAGCGCCATCTTTGAAGCGTTCAGCATAAGAGAAAAAACACATGGAGGGTGCGGGATCCCGGAGGAAAAAAAAAAAAGAAAAAACAGGTTCCAAAAAGAGCCGAGATCACCCGCAAGTTCCAGATGGAGTAGGTGCCGCATCCCACCTCCCCCAGATGGAACCCCGGTGACCAGAAGCCTCTACAAACACAGCTCGAGTATGCGGGAACGAGGACTTTTTCTCAAAACTGCCAGACTACACCTCCCAGGTAACCTCTGATTCCGGAAGTCACGCCCACAGCCCGCCCCCCAGCGCCATCTTTGAAGCGTTCAGCATAAGAGAAAAAACACATGGAGGGTGCGGGATCCCGGAGGAAAAAAAAAAAGAAAAAACAGGTTCCAAAAAGAGCCGAGATCACCCGCAAGTTCCAGATGGAGTAGGTGCCGCATCCCACCTCCCCCAGATGGAACCCCGGTGACCAGAAGCCTCTACAAACACAGCTCGAGTATGCGGGAACGAGGACTTTTTCTCAAAACCGCGCAGCCGCTTATGCGGCCGCGCGACATCTCTCTATATACAAAGTGATCAATGAGAAGTAAACCACCCAATCTTTCTCCCTGAAAGTCAGAGTTAAGTTTGGAGCACGGCCACAGCCCCAGAAACACAAGGACTTAATGCAGAACCCAGCAGCTTGGAGCAGAAAAGTGAAAGGACTATGCGTTAATCCAGGCCATCAAGTCGGCCGGAGGGGAAAGGGTGTTGCCCCATTCGCCCTCTCTTCTCTGGAAAGAAGGATGGCGGCCGCATGGGAGCCTTGTGGACAGCAGGTATGAGCCGGGGGTGTGGGGGCGACTAAAACCTCATGGGAAGGGGGGCGTTCTGGTCCGTCCTTCACGCCCTACCGAGGTCACCAGCTGCCCCCCACGAGCGGCTCTCCAGCACGGCCACAGCCCCAGAAGCACAAGGGCTTAATGCAGAACCCAGCAGCTTGGAGCAGAAAAGTGAAAGGACTATGCGTTGACCCAGGCCATCAAGTCTGCCCAGAGGGGAAAGGGTGTTGCTCCCTTCCGCCCTCCTCCCTCTGGAAAGAAAGATGGCGGCCACATGGGAGCCTTATGGACAGCAGGTATGAGCCGGGGGTGTGGGGGCGACTAAAACCTCATGGGAAGGGGGGCGTTCCGGTCCGTCCTTCACGCCCTACCGAGGTCACCAGTCACCCCCCACGAGCGGCTCTCCAGCACAGCCACGGCCCCAGAAGCACAAGGACTTAATGCAGAACCCAGCAGCTTGGAGCAGAAAAGTGAAAGGACTATGCGTTGATCCAGGCCATCAAGTCTGCCGGAGGGGAAAGGGTGTTGCCCCATTCGCCCTCTCCTCTCTGGAAAGAAAGATGGCGGCCACATGGGAGCCTTGTGGACAGCAGGTATGAGCCGGGAGTGTGGGGGCGACTAAAACCTCATGGGAAGGGGGGCGTTCCGGTCCGTCCTTCACGCCCTACCGAGGTCACCAGTTGCCCCCCACGAGCGGCTCTCCAGCACGGCCACGGCCCCAGAAGCACAAGGGCTTAATGCAGAACCCAGCAGCTTGGAGCAGAAAAGTGAAAGGACTATGCGTTAATCCAGGCAATCATTTCTGCCCAGAGGGGAAAGGGTGTTGCCCCATTCGCCCTCCTCCCTCTGGAAAGAAAGATGGCGGCCACATGGGAGCCTTGTGGACAGCAGGTATGAGCCGGGGGTGTGGGGGCGACTAAAACCTCATGGGAAGGGGGGCGTTCCGGTCCGTCCTTCACGCCCTACCGAGGTCACCAGTCGCCCCCCACGAGCGGCTCTCCAGCACAGCCACGGCCCCAGAAGCACAAGGACTTAATGCAGAACCCAGCAGCTTGGAGCAGAAAAGTGAAAGGACTATGCGTTGACCCAGGCCATCAAGTCTGCCGGAGGGGAAAGGGTGTTGCCCCATTCGCCCTCTCCTCTCTGGAAAGAAAGATGGCGGCCACATGGGAGCCTTGTGGACAGCAGGTATGAGCCGGGAGTGTGGGGGCGACTAAAACCTCATGGGTCGGGGGGCGTTCCGGTCCGTCCTTCACGCCCTACCGAGGTCACCAGTTGCCCCCCACGAGCGGCTCTCCAGCACAGCCACGGCCCCAGAAGCACAAGGACTTAATGCAGAACCCAGCAGCTTGGAGCAGAAAAGTGAACGGACTATGCATTGATCCAGGCCATCAAGTCTGCCGGAGGGGAAAGGGTGTTGCCCCATTCGCCCTCTCCTCTCTGGAAAGAAAGATGGCGGCCACATGGGAGCCTTGTGGACAGCAGGTATGAGCCGGGGGAGTGGGGGCGACTAAAACCTCATGGGTCGGGGGGCGTTCCGGTCCGTCCTTCACGCCCTACCGAGGTCACAAGTCGCCCCCCGCGAGCGGCTCTCCAGCACGGCCATGGCCCCAGAAGCACAAGGACTTAATGCAGAACCCAGCAGCTTGGAGCAGAAAAGTGAACGGACTATGCGTTGATCCAGCCCATCAATTCTGCCGGAGGGGAAAGGGTGTTGCCCCATTCGCCCTCTCCTCTCTGGAAAGAAAGATGGCGGCCACATGGGAGCCTTGTGGACAGCAGGTATGAGCCGGGAGTGTGGGGGCGACTAAAACCTCATGGGAAGGGGGGCGTTTCGCTCCGCCCTTCACGCCCTACCGAGGCCACCGGTTGCCCCCCGCGAGCGGCTCTCCAGCACGGCCACGACTCCAGAACACAAAAACCAGTTTCTTAACTATCTGACTTTCAGTAGAAATACTTCCAGGGTCAATAGGTAAAATAGCAGAAATCCAAAACCAACATTTAATTCTTTAACCCAGCTGTAGAAAGCAAATCACTTCACAATGCTTTTTCAGCATGTCTGATTTGGGGGGGGGGGTAAACTCTAAATAATAGTGGTGAATCTTTTATTGAAACAATGAATCTAATCAAAGCAGATAGAGTGTTAACTAGAATTCATCTGCCTCACAGGGACGGGGAGGGGCGGGGGGTGGGGTTTTATTGGGGTTCTTCATGGTAAAAAATAAGTATTGGTAAAGGGAAATGTGTTTGATATTTGCATTACTGAGACATAAACCTGAAAGCTTTGTAACCTTTCCCACAGTGATTCAATAAATAAATTAAAAAAAAAAATACTGTAGCTCTGTTGCAAAAATTAAACAAAAATTCACTTAAAATTTTTTGTAAATGCTGAAGGAATATAATCAAATAGATGTTGTGGAAGAATCAAATCATAGCTATGGAGTGACTTCATAACATAATGATTCTAAACACTGAGGAACTGCATTAACTATTTGGGGTTGATTTAAACTAGGACGTAGTTATTTAAACTTCAGTGGGCTAATTTAACAGGAAATAAAATGATGAATTGGAACCATGATTAGGGTTTCAATCATTCATAAAAAAACTTAAAAATAGAATGTTCTCATATTTATTAAATATATTCATGTTATAAAAACAACTGTGAAAATTTAAATAGAGCAAAACTGGGCTCAGTGAAATCAGATCTAGGAACTCTGAAGGATAAAGATTCAGGTCCAAAAAGGGTTCAGGATTTGACTTCATCCTGAGTAAGAGGGACTGAACTACAGCTGTCTTCTCCAAGGAAAAAACTCTCAAGTTTGGCGGTGTGTGTGTGTGGGAGAAGTGGGTGGGATGGGGGGGAGTGGTGTGCTTTCAGGGTAAAGCAAAGATCTTGAAAATTTCTGGATCTAAAGTAGCACATTTAGGCTGGAGCGATAGTACATCGGGTGGGGCATTTGCCTTGCACATGGCCAATCCAGGTCTGATGCCCGGCATCCCATATGGTCCCCTGAGCACTGCCAGGAGTGATTCCTGAGTGCAGAGCCAGGAGTAACCCCTGAGCATCACCGGGTGTGACCCCCCTCCAAAAAAGAATACAGTGACACATAAAGTTTATCTGATGACAATACTTGAATTATCCCCTAAGCAAATTATTTTCTTGAGAGCAAATCTAAATTCTAAGACTTTAATCCATTAAAATTTATTTTCTATTTATCTTGACAAAAGTGACCATGAGATTAAAAAAAAAAAAGAGAGAGAGAGAGAGAGAGAGAGAGAGAGAGAGAGAGAGAATGTTATTAGGAATGTAAAAAAGTATTGGGTCCAAAGAGGCATACACATGTCAGCTGGTATTGGTGAAGTCCTGATTTCGATGTTACAAGATATGCCTAAAAGAGTCATCCTCAAAGCCACAGAAAGGAAGGAGTCAGGTGCCTGACAGGCTGCGGCTTCCGTGACAGAGAGGAGAAGGCAGTACTTTTGGGTGACACGGCCGCAGCAGGACCACTCACTGCAGAGCAGCTTTGACCTGCACCTCAGGATAAAGAATAAATTCTGATTTAGTAGGGTTCTCTCTCCTTTTTGTGAGTTTTGCTAGCGGTTTATGTAACTCTGTATCTCACAGTGATTCAATTAAAAATTAATAAAATTGGGGCTGGAGTGATAGCACAGTGGGTAGGGCGTTTGCCTTGCACGCAGCCAACATGACCAACACAGGTTCGATTCCCAGTACCCCATATGGTCCCCTGAGCACCGCCAGGAGCAATTCCTGAGTGCATGAGCCAGGAGTAACCCCTGAGTATCGTCAGGTATAACCCAAAAAGCAAAAAAAAAAATTAATAAAATTAAAAATAGATACACGCTAACTTAAAATAATTTTGAGTTAAAAATTTCTGGAGGAGATAATTTCCTAATTAACCATTTATTTCTCATCGGATAGTCTTGGCTTTAGATAGCCTATTGACAAAGAAAACAAATGGCATGCTTTATAAACTTCACTAATTTGCAGTAGTCAACATTTAATAAACCTCCTTGGTCAAAAATCAACCATGCTATGAGAAATGTGAGCGTCAAAAATGGTTGAGGCCCCTGGAGGCCGTGCTCGTGTGTCTGTTCATGACTGGAAATGCACATGGACCAGGCCACCCTGGAAGGCTGCAGAAATGCAGTTAAGGGCTACATGATGCATGAGGCATCTACCCAGTAATAACATGACATCAAGACACGAGAAAGAAGAGACATGATTAACAAGCAGGAAAGACACGATAAAGCTCAGTTAAAGCAGGAGCTATGTACTACAAACTCAATCACACTGATACATAGGTCAAAAATATCTATGTATGTGCAGAAGTAAAGACCAAAAGTATTTGGCAGTGTTTTTCTCAGTAGTAGGAATACTAGTGGTTTCTTTCTCATGTAATTTTGCTTTTATAAGTGAATTTTTCTTTAAGAATCTGAAGCAATTACTTTAAACAAATAAAAGATGTAGCAGGAACTTTGGCATCTTAATGAAACTCAAATTTAACCAGAGAACAAAACATCTTGGATAAAATAAGCTGATGAATCACAGTTTAAATAATATTAACAATTATTAACAATTATTGTGTGGCAAACACTGTCCTAAGCTATGAAGAAAGTAAAGTTCTTTTTTTTTTTCTTTTTGGGTCACAACTGGTGATGCTCAGGGGCTGCTCCTGATTCTGCACTAAGGAATTACTCCTGGTGATGCTTGGGAAGCCGTATGGAATGCTGGGGATTGAACCCGTGTTGGCCACATGCAAGGCAAATGCTCTCCCCGCTGTACTATTGTTCCAACCTCAAAGAAAGTAAGGTTCTTTGGGTCACACCCGGTGATGCACAGGGGTTACTCCTGGCTCTACACTCAGGAGTTACTCCTGGCGGTGCTCAGGGGACCATATGGGATGCTGGGAATCAAACCTGGGTGGACCACATACAAGGCAAATGCCCTACCCATTGTGCTATCTCTCCAGCCCCAGATAGTAAAGTTCTTGACGGCTAGAGGAACAAATGACATCTCTAACAATGCAGTAAGTTGCTGTGTAAGACAACATTCACTAACATACTTTATAGATACAAAATAAAAGGGTTAAATATCTTTGTTTAGCAAAGCAATAAGATATTTATTTATGCTAAGCATATAATTTTTTCTTACTAGATAAAGACATTAAAATTGCTTGATTACTTACCCCAATATTAAACATCCCTGTAAAATACTCCATATTCGCTTGGATGAACCAAATGTTTTTTAAACCTAGTTCGTCACTTCTCTTCTTAGCGCGGATTAATGATAATTCCTTGTTTTCTACTAATATGACCTAGATTTCATCCAAGAAACAAAAGAATATTCAGTAACACCATTCAGACCTTCTGGCAAAGTATGGCTACCTTATTTCATAGCTTTAATAAGGTAGAACATATCACATTGGTCCTTCTCCTGTGCCCGGAAATACACCAGCAACACAGGATAAAAATGAACCTGGCCTGGAGCTCTTTATGCTACAGCATTTAGCACAGACACATGACGAGGCAGAGGGACGTGGGGGAAACAGTCAGTCCCAACACGGTGAGGTGTGTATGAAAGGTATCTAACTGCCACCTGTCACAGCATTCAGCTCTGACGACTAAGGAAGCTTTCATGGGAAAGGAACATTCACTGAAGCCTGAAAAATGAGTAGAAACCGGGGCTGGAGAAACAGCACAAGGGCGAGGGCATCAGTCTGTGTGCAGCAGCCCTGGCAAGACCCGACCCTGCTGGGTACAGCCTGAGGCTGCCATACTATGGCTGTGGCCCCAGGGGCCCTGGAGACTGCTAGGTGTGGCCCCAGGGGCCCTGGACACTGCTGGGTGGTCCAGATAGTCCCGGGGACACTGTGGGGCCACAGCAGCACATCCTCAATCCTCGGATTAAACCACAGGTTCTGTTGACAAATAATTGTCAGAAAGGGTCCCCAGGTCTTCTGAGCACTGTTTTTAGAGCCCTCTAAAATCTGTATAGAAATTAGCTTAGAAATGAGAAGTGTATGAGGTGGAAAAAATGTGTACAAAGACCCACGGTGAGAAGGTGTCCGGTGGGCGCCAAGAACAGAAAAGTGATCTTGCTGATGCTGATGCAAGGCAGGGGAGGGGTGGGAAAGGGGCCACAGGCTCAGAGGGGGGAGCCTGCCGGCCGGGCAGGAAAGCAGCTGGACGGACCACGCACAGTGCGAAGCTCTTCAATGGCTCGTGGACCTGGCTCTGCCTCGCCTCGCCCTAAGGACAGAGACCCGTCAGCAAACTTGGTGTCCATGCCTGCTGCCTCCACGCTGCCCCAGGAGAAGAGGGCCTGACTGCCGTGGACTCGGGTTGTGCAGGGCCCATCCTCTGGGCCCCTGGGACAAGTGCCGGACCAGCCCTTTCCACTCTGCTCACTTTCTAAGGAGAGGAAGAACCCGCCCGCATGCCCCTCACCATCCATCACACGTCACACTCTGGCCCCTGAGCGCTTCCACCTCATTTCCTTCTGGAAACAGAATTAAAAACCTGGCAGCCAAAGGGGCTGAAGTGATAGGACAGGGGGTAGGGCGTTTGCCAATTCCCGACATTCTCTATGGCCCCTTGAGCACCTTGGGGGGGGGGGGAGTTCCTGAGTGCAGAGCCAGGTGAACCCCGGAGCATCGCTGGGTGTGGCCCAGGGCAAAACAAACAAAAGAACAATGCGGCATACTCCAGAGAGATCACAACCAAAAAATCTTTCCCATTTCAATTTTTATTTAAAAGGAGGAACTGATTTAATATGGCAAAAAAGCAAAAAAAAAAAAAGCAAAAAAGAAAAAAAGCATACTTCTAACCAGTAGTGACAACATTTATATAAGTGATGATCATTGTATCACTGTCATTCTGTTGATTGTTGAATTACTCAAGTGGGTGCCAGTAACGTCTCTGTTACCCCCAGCCCTGAGATTTTAGCAGCCTCTTCTTACTCATCTTTTCCCAACAGCTGGAGGCTCTTTCAGGGTCAGGGGATTAAGACCTGTTGTCGTTACTGTATTTGGCATACCGAATATGCCACAGGAAGCTTGCCAGGCTCTGCTCGTGTGGGCGGGATACTCTGGATAGCTTGCCGGGCTCTCCGAGAGGCATATATGGCAGATGCCTCTCCAAGAGGCACATTACGATGCATATAAGCACATGCATCATAATATAAGTTATGATGCATGTGCTTAAATACATGGTAAATTCTCACTAAACTACAATGCTATTTAACATTATTTGCAATGGGCCAGAGCGATAGCACAGCGGGTAGGGCGTTTGCCTTGCACGCAGCCAACATGGCCGACACAGGTTCGATTCCCAGCATCCCATATGGTCCACGGAGCACTGCCAGGAGTGATTCCTGAGTGCATGAGCCAGGAGTAACCCCTGAGCATCGCCGGGTGTGACCCAAAAAGAAAAAAAAAGATAAAATAAAATAATTTGCAATAGGGAAACATCGATGGTACAATATATCAAAAGCAAGAACTAAAATTTGCATTTTGAACTTTGTAACAATGAGCATCATATAAACAGTGAAATGAGGAAGAAAGCACTGGACAGTCGGTGTGGCTGGTCTATCTTTTCTCTTCTGAATTTTTGTTACTATTGCTCTAATTTTGACACCATTGATACAATCAGGATACCCAAAGAACTCTGCAAGTCTCAGAACCTAGATTTTCTAGTATAAAATCATGTTGAAAACCAGGGTTCTGGGGCTGTGTTTGTCTTGGGAGCAGGAGACCTGGGGTCAGCCCCTGGTAACACAGAAACCATCTGATGATGACTCTACTGAGCACGAACTATTTTGTTCATCATCATTTTATTGAACCTCACAATAGATACCTGTAATGACAGTCACCTTAAAGCAGCCCTTTCAGAAGCCCCAGCCCATAGTTCGTGATTCTGCGGCGACTGCAAACTACCTCAGGGCCACGGAATCTCGTCTTCACCAGCCTTGTTCGAGAGACTTATCAATCAATCTCGAAAGAGATCAACTGGCTGCAAAAACTTAAAGAGATCAACTAGCTAGAAAAACTTCTCAGACACGCTTACCCGACTGAGGCATGTGGGGTACCCTGAGGGGTGGCCAGTGCCCACCCAAGCGAGGACAGTCAGAGCTGCGGCCACGCCCCTGGTCAGGCTCCATCGCCTCAGGACACTGAGCCCACAGGGAACTTCCCCTGGGCAAAGCCTCAGGCACGTGCTCCCTGTGGCTGTAGGCTCAATCCCTTCTGGGAATCCGGACAGGCAACCCCCCTCTTCCCTGAACTCTGGAAGCCCTGGCAGTAATGCCAGGAACCACCTCCTCGGCTGCCATATAAATTTAGCAATTAAAAATTTAACTCTGGTTGGACCAACCAGTTAAAAACCCTGGATTTTCTGGAGCGTGTGGTCGCATTCACGACCACTCGTCTCCAAACTCCACAACGCCGACAATTCAGTAGTAACACAACAGATTGGATGAGATGTAATATAGAGGCCAACCAATCCCGACTAACAAAAACATCAACACAGAAGCTTAACTTGTGACAACAGTAAGTCCTCAGGCAAAGACTTAATACCCACCTGGTAAGATACAAGTTCACTAATTTTCTTTAAAGTTTTCGATTATTTTGCTAGCTGTTTATGGGTAACAACCAATATAAAATAAATGACTTTGGTCCTGTTACTTGGGCAGGCTGGAGGGGTGGTTGGGAAATGGGAACGGGGTGGGGGGAAGGGGACAGGGGTGTTGGGACTGGGGGTAGAATATTGAATGCTGTAACAAACCATCATGAACAATGTTTTTATAAACCATGGTGTTTAAATAAAGTGTGGGGGAAAGGAAAACAACATCCTTTCCTAAAACTAAAAACTGAGAATTGTCCTGAAGTGCTTCTTTCTTACCCCCTAAGGTTGTTTGTCCAGAACGTGCTGCTCTACTCTGGCCCAGGGTGAGTGTAATAGGCCCCCAGTGCAGAGCACAGGTCTGGGTTGGGTCACTCACACGTACCTGGCACAGGGGCAGCATGTGAGCGAGGACGATCCCGACGTGGCCCTAGGGAGAGCAGAGAGGCACGTCACCCATGGCCCCGGAGGTGCTCGCGGCCTTCCCAGAGGGAGAATCTCGCCCAGAGGGAGCACAACCCGACTGTCCAGTCACACCGGCCTCGGGACGGAGTGAAGGGATGGATACAATACCCCACCGCTGCAGAAATCCACGATTCTGTCCCCCGGCTTGGCCTGCTTCGACACCACGTAGACCAGGTTGTTCAGCTGCTGCTGCTTCCTCAGGGCGCGGTCACTGGACATCTTACCTGGGAAGGAGAGAGAGGATGAGATGAGGCCAGGGACACAGACGGCCAGTGCAGGGGCACGTCAGGGGCACAGACCCGGCCTGGGAGTGCCCTGCTCAGCTGTCCCTGCACTCCTGCCACCTGAAGGGAAATGGAAGGAAGCGTGGCTAGGAAGTGTTCAGTCAGTGTTTCCTGAGTAAATGAAAATAAACAGTATTTTCTTCTGTCTCTCTCAGAAATACACTGTGGTGATTACCTAATTTTAACACCTCGAAAAGATCTACATGATAAGCGGAAAATGTTCCCATCATCTAACTGGCATGTCCATCCCAGATGCTGAATTCTCCTAGTCAGAACACCTGGAAGATAGCTGTCACCTGTCGGAAACGAATCAGCGGTTATTCTTACTTAGGAGGAAATTGGATTTTCCCATTTCTGCTTAGACGCTTCCTTCCCTCATGAGTCAGACAGAAAAAAAATACAGTTTGAGATTAGAGATAGGGCATTTCCGAGCACGAAATGCCATGGGTATAGGAGCGTGAAAGCATCAGAACTTCCCTCTCAAAGCCACTGGTGAGGCCCACAAAGATCCCTTCAGAAGATGGACAAAGTTATTTGCTTCTACATATTTCAAGTGAACTTTTTAAACATCATGATTAAGAAAATATGAGAACAGATCTTGGTGATACAGATTAAAGGGAAAACCCAGATAATGTATTCGACTTGATCAAAAATTACAGTTACCAAGGTTTCCTTGCTCTGTTTTCACAGAGAAATAGCATGACTTTTTCTTCTTTTGTTTTCCTTTTTTTTGGGTTACACCCAGAGATGCTCAGGGGTTACTCCTGGCTCTGCACTCAGGAATTATTCCTGGTGGTGCTTGGGGGACCATGTAGGATGCCGGGGATTAAACCCTGGTCAGCTGCTTGCAAGGAAAACGCCCTCCCCACTGTACTATCACTCTGGCCCCATGTTTTTCCTCATTTTTATATTACTAAATTTAATAAAAGCATTGGGAAGTTTTCTTTTTAGGAAACTGAGGAAAGCATGGATTAAAATATCTATATGAATAAAAAATACACATATTCTCAAAGTCCAGGGGCATTATTTTTGTCATATGTACTCCCATCATATCCATAAATTTATAATGGCCCAGGCTACAGACAAAACATAATATTACACAATTTCCCACATGAGAACAGTGGTGTAAGTTTTAACGGCTGCATAGTATTCCTCCGGCTATCCTTAACAACATTCGTGTGCACATTTCCTGCTGCAATGTGTGCCGTCATTCTCAGTACAGGAACACTGGGAATGGTATCCCCTCTGCACACGAGGCTGCTCTAAAGTAGGCTGGCAGGGGGAGCATGCCACTTGGTATGCTTTCTGTGTACAGCACTGAAGTCCTTGTCTATTGCTCGTCTTTTAAGTCCTTCTCAAATGTGCCCTTCACTTAGAACTTGCCTTCAGGGGCTCCACTCTGCTTTTGTAGAATAAAACTGACTTTTGGTAGGAAAACAAGGCCTTCAGAGACCTCCAGCTCCTGCCTCTGGCCTCCCGTGCCTCCATCTCTCAGAACAGGGATCATTCTCTGAGTCTGTGGTGCTGATGAGTCTCAGTATATTTGCTCTTTGCTTGAAACCTATTTTGCAGCATTAGGACCCCAGGAAGTCCACCCCTACCTTTCCTCATTCACGGCTGCATTTTCATGGATTTTAATAATTTTTTTAAATACAGAGAGAATAAAAGGTTACTTTTTCCAACTCTATTATCCCATAGAACTATCTTTTATAAAACTTGTTATTGTTTACTAGTGAAGAAGTTTTCTTATTACAAAATGGTACCTACACACAATTAATAATAACTATCCCCCAGAATCACTAGTTCCTTGGACTAGATATAGGTTATTTTTCCTGAAAATATATGAACTTGGGCTCAGTTAGAAAGAGTATTAGAAGACAAATAGAAAAAAATTAATAAAATAAATAAGTTTTCTCTGCAATTATGACATAAATTTCCAGGCAATATGCTAACTTTAGCAGACATTATTGTATTACAAAAAAAAAGTTAGATATCAATGCAATGCCTATATTTGTTGAAACTGTAAAAGAAGTCAACTATGAAAAATATTTTAGAAATAGATGGGGAAAAGTTTTCTATAAATTCTGTGATAGCAAAAGAAGGCAATAATAAAAATTACAATGTGTTTAATCAAAGTTGTAACAAAATTCCTAAAGAAACTCCAAAGGGTGACAGGACACTAAGCATCAACATCAGGGGCAGGAAAACTTTAATATTTCAGAGAACAATTGTGGAAACAGTAAAAAAGTGGAGCAGTCCCTCAGGCCAGCACCACAACTGCCTGCCAGGCTGACCTCAATGACAACATTGCTCCAACACTGGAACACGCGCCATCAAGAACCTTGTGCCTCTTCCCACTCACACCTCAACCACTGTGTGAGTCAGCAACCAGGGCAGCCTGGTGCATTTTAGCTCACCCTGGGTGTTGCTACCTCATTAACTAGAGATGGAAAACGTTTCTCTTGAATGGAGGGACAGTAATCTCACAAGCAACTTCCTTGGTCCATGCAGGTGCCTTGGCCTACTGCAGCGGATATGAACATACGTCCATCCCTAATGGGCTTCACTTATACCTTGTCTAATTGCTACAAATCATTTTAACTTAGAAAATATGCTTTATTAGCCACATTGTGCAATGCATTTTAACAATACTTTAAAAAATTCCATGTGCCACCGTTCTGATATAACTGATAACGCTTTGCTTGTATCATGCTTTGGAATTGATGAAGCTTCTGCAGTTGACCCTCGGCAGCCAGCAGGCCAGCAGTAGGGAGGAGTGTCCCTGCTCCATACGGCAGGTGCTGAGCGCCAGTGAGCAGGTGTGCACGGGGCAGGGTGTTCTGCACTGAAACGCATCTCAAAGGTCAGATGTGGGGGGCCAGACCAACAGGACAGCAGGTAGCGCTCTTGTCTTGTATGCAGACCCAGGAGTAAGCCCTGAGCAGGAGTGGCTGCAAAACCAAAACTAAAACCTTGTTATCGAGTATGATCTGTTTCTTTTCTTTTCTTTTCTGTTTTTTTTTTTTTTTAAATTTTTATTAGTGAAACACCATGAGGTACAGTTGTAGACTTACAAGTTTTTGTGCTTGGGTTTCAGTTATACAATGATCTAGTACCCATTCCTCCACCAGTGCCCATTCTCTGCCACAATGATCCCAGTATCCCTCCCACCCACTCCCACTCCCTCCATCCCACCCTGCCTCTGTGGCAGGGCATTCCCTTTTGTTCTCTCTCTCCTTTTGGGTGCAGTGGCTTGCAAAAGAGGCTTGAGTGGCAATCATGTTCAGTCTATAGTCTACTTTCAGCATGCATCTCCCATGCTGGGAGGATCCTCCCAACACCCTTTAGTTGGTGCTCCCTTCTCTATCTGAGCTGCCTTTTTTCCCCAACATGTGTGGCTGGCCTCCAAGCCATGGAGTAAACCTCCTGGTTCTTATCTCGGCTATTCTTGGGTGTTAGTCTCCTATTTTGTTACTTTATGTTCCCCAGATGAATTATTTACTATTTACTATATGGTCTGTTTCTTAAACAGATGGTTGTGACTGTGGCTTCAGAACCCAACCCTGAGGCCCTTTTCTGAGTGTGCAAGGGAACGGTTGCCTTACAGCAAGGAAATGAGGGAAGGCCCTGGAGTTACATCTTAGAGGAAGCATTCCATTCTGCAGAACCAGTTCTAAACTGCAGTTTAGTTTAGTTTCTCCTCTAGATAAAACTACCGTGGAAAAGCTTGCCAGTGAAGAAGATTAATATAAGCTTTGAACGCTCCCATTTTGGAATATATTACCAACTGTTATCTGGAGGTCCTGAAAGTCACTCCGTTTAATGAACTGACCCCTGACTATCACCCTTTCCAGGAGGAGACCATTCCCCACTCGGAGACTTACAGAAAAGGGACACAGGGAAGTTGAGCAATCAATTTGTTGCAAAATCGGATTATCCAGGAGGAAAGCAATGAAACTAGATTGGGAAGCCCTCTCGTGTTATAGCACAGCAAATGCTGACTCAACAGCACGGCCCTCCACCCTTCCATATCTAAGTTAGAATAACCTTTTTTAAAAAGCAATAACTAAAAACTATTTAGGCAAGATGCTGCGTTGAGGAATAAAAGTTGAAAAGTACATTCACTTTATTTGCTGAACCAAAAACTTGTTTTGCTTATAGAAGAAATACAGTGGAGTTGAAATTTAAAACCTTCTCATTCCAACCATTTTTCCTGTAACACTACTAAAACATTTGACTCCAGAATACCAGAACCCCGAGTTAACTGAACATGTATATTTGTTATTTCACTCAACCATCAGTTATACCACACAAGGCAAGCAAAGTTAAGTTTTCTTTACTCTGGAACTTTGTTAGATCTTGTTAGATAAAGTTATTTTGTTAGATAAGTTCACAATAACCTTTTGTGCTGCCCCAAAGACCAAAAGACCAAATTGAGATGCAACAAAAATAATTCTAGAAAATTTAGTGATTTATTTCTTCTTCCTTCTCCTCTTCACCCAGAGGCTTCAGTTAAAAAGAGTACTTTGACAATCTTGATAATTTTCTGAATTTGTTCCAAGAACCCTCAATTTGGTTTCCAATTTGCTGTAACGATTTTCCCACTAACCCCCAAAAGTTAAGCTCTAACATTCTGAGTCAAATGAGTTAAAGAATAGTATTTTTGGTGTATTCTAATATTTGATTTAAATAAAAACAGAAAAACTGTGTCTAAGGTGACAAGGCACCTTTAGCCATCCTGAATATTCCTACATGAGTAACATCTCTGTCTGCCCCCTGGCCTGGAATCCCTGGCAGCTAAAATGCTGTAACACAGACAGAATGCAACACCCATTTCTGGCACATCCCGTCTCATGTCTTTCTGTGTGAATGAGGGGCTCCCCCCACAGAGCCCTCGGGCCCCCTATCCTGCTGAGAACTGTCTTGGATGCAGCCCCTGC